CCCCAAAAAAGCCTCCAAACCCATTAGCAGTTGCTCCCCATTCCTCTGAGAGTCCAGCAACCAGTAATCTAGTCTCTGTCCCTACACATTTGCCCATTCTGGATATTTCATATCAATGACATCAAAGAATATGTGGCCTTCGGGTCTGGCTTCATTCACTTAGCATAATGCTTTCGAGGTTCATTCATGTTGTAGTGTGTGTTGGGACTTCATCCCTTTTGATGGCTGAATCATCTTCCATTGCATGGATGGGCCACATTTTCTTCATTTATCAGTTGATGGACACTTCGTTTCCACTTTTTGGCCATTATGAATAATGCTGCTGTGAAATTGCACATTCAAGCTTTTGTGTGAATATGTTTTCATTTCTCTTAGGTCTATACCTAAAAGTGGAATCACTGGGCTACATGGTAATGCTATGTTTAACTCTTTGAGGCCCTGCCACTCTTTCCACAGCAGCTGCACATTTTCCAGTCCTACCAGCAGTGCACTGGAGCTCCAGTTGCTCCACATCCTGCCCAACACTTGTTATGTCCTTTTGCTTATAGCTGTCTTAGTGGGTGCCTAGTGGTATCTCATTGTAGTTATGTCTGGCTTTTTTTTGAGATGGAGTCTTGCCCTGTTGCCCAGGCTGGAGTGTCGTGGTGTAATCTTGACTCACTGCAGCTTCCACCTCCTGGGTTCAAGTGATTCTCCTGCTTCAACCTCTGGAGTAGATGGGATTACATGTGTGTACCACCACACCCAGCTAATTTTTGTATTTTTAGTAAAGACAGTTTTGCCATGTCGGCCAGGCTGGTCTTGAACTCCTGACCTCAAATGACCACCCACCTTGGCCTCCCAAAGTGTTGGGATTACAGGCATGAGCCACCATGCCCCACTAAGTCAGGTTTTTATTTTGCCTCTACCCTATTTTTTCCCTCTGGTTACAGGTAACCATTGAAAAGAGATTACTGTTTATCCTTGCTTTGTTATTTTAAAATATAAGTAGTTATATAAATGTGTGTACATGCAGATATATACATGTGTGCATATACACATGTACATATGACTATACACAAACATGAACACATCTATATTTGTATTTCTCTCCTTTCTTTGGCAAATGGTAGCACAAAACACACTTCTTTACCTGACTTTTTTCACTTAAAAGTATATCCCAGCCAGTGGTGGTGGTGCACACCTGTAGTCCCAGCTACCTGGGAGGCTGAGATGTGGTCCACATCTCTTTTAAAAAAAGAAAAATAGATATAACTCTGAGACCACCAAAGTCCGTATTGGCTGCTATAACAGTTTACCACAAGCGTGGGGGCTTAAAACAAAAATTTATTTCACAGTTCACAAGGCCAAAATTGCTAAATCAAGGTGTCGCCAGGGCTACCCTCTCTTCAAAGGCTGTAGGGGAGGATCCTTCCTGCCTTTTCCAGCTCCTGATGCTGCTGACAATCCTTGGCTCTTCCAAGGGACATGACTCCACTTTCAGTCCCATCGTCACATCACTGTTCCCTCTGCATTTTTCCCTGTCTTCTCTCTCTTACAAGAACATCTGCCATTGGATTTAGGGCCTACCCGGTTAATCCAGGATGATCTCATCTCCAGGTCTCTAATTACCTCTGCAAAGACTCTTGCCAAATAAGGTCACATTCCCAAGTTCCTGGTAGACATATCTTTAAGGCAAACCATTCAATCCACCATGATCTGTCCTCTGCACCTCCCCCAAATTCACATCCAATCCACAAGCAAAATACATTCACCCCATCCCCATATCCCCCAAAGTGGTACATATAGGTATTCTTTTTGTTTTACCTTTGCATACATTAGTGGATGTACCATAGTTTATTCAGCTATCTTCTGGTGACTTATAGTCATGCTATTAAAAATAATTCAACCAGCTGGTGCAGTGGTTCATGCCTATAATCCCAGCACTTTGGGAGGCCAACGTGGGTGGATCACGCGGTCAGGAGTTTGAGACCAGCCTGACCAACATGGTGTAAAACCCCATCTGTACTAAAAATGCAAAAATTAGCTGGGTGTGATGGCACGTACCTGTAATCCCAGCTACTCAGGAGGCCAAGGCAGGAGAATCACTTGTGCCCAGGAGGCGGAGGTGGCAGTGAGCCAGGATCGCACCATGGCACTCCAGCATGGGCAACAGAGCGAGATTCTGTCTCAAAAATAATAAAATAACAAAGTCTTCTGCAGACATCTTTTCACATTTTTGCCAGGGTTTCTTTTTTTATTTCATTGATAGAAACAGCATTGCCGTGCTGCCCATGCTGTTCTCCAACTCCTGGTCTCAAGCTATCCTCCCGCCTCAGTCTCCCAAAGTGTTGGGATTTCCTGTGTGAGCCACTCTGCCTGACCTTTGCCAGGGTTTTCATGAGTTACATCCCAAGAAGTGGGATCTCTGGGTCAATGGTAATGCATGTGGCATGTTGCTGGGTTTCGCCGCATTTCCCCATAGGGGCTTTACCATTTTGTATTCTCACCAGCAGTGGATGAGACAGTTCCCCCACAGCCTCAGCAACAGAATGGTGTCATGTGTGTGTCTTTGCCAATTGCAGAGGTGAGAAAACATCTCAGCACAGTCTCAATTTGTGCTTAAGAGCAAAGCTGCTTTAATTATAGGGCTTGTTGGTAAGTTTTAATATCAGTTAGGGCTAGCCCTCCTTCCTTTCTTGTTTCTCAGTGCCTTCCTGGATATTCTTGCTTATTGTTCTTCCAAAGGAATTTTATAATTTTCTAGCTCCAAGGGAAAAAATTATGGAATCTACTGGAATTGCATTAAACTTACACATTTGTGAGAACTGACGTCTTTATGATGCTGAATCCTCCTATCCAGGAATGTATTATGTATTTCAATTTGTCCAAGACTAATTTTGTGTCTTTCAGGAATGCTTTACAGTTTTGCTCATATATATTTTGGATATTTCTTGATAGGTTTTTGCCCATTTTGTTTTCTATCTTTGCATAAAGACAGAAAATAAAGATAAGATAAATACAAATACATGCAAGTTATTTACCTTTTTTCAGACTTTGGTGGAGAAGCTAGTGTTTCCCCATAAAATGAAATTGAGGCCGAGTGTGGTGTCTCGTGCTCATATCCCAGCATTTTGAGAAGCTGAGATGGGAGGATTGCTTGAGTGCAGAAGTTCAGGATCAGCCTGAGCAACATAAGGAGACCCTGTTTCTACAAAAATTACAAAAAATTAGCTGGACATGGTGGCATGCACCTGTGGTCCTAGATACACAGGAGGCTAAGGTGGAAGAATTGCTTGAGCCCCAGAAGTCAAGGCTGCAGTGAGCCATGTTCATGCCATTGCACTCCAGCCTGGATGACAGAGGGAGACCCTGTGTCGAAGAAAAGTGGCTGGGTGTGGTAGCTAACACCTGTAATCCCAGCACTTTGGGAGGCCAAGGCGGGTGGATCGTGAGGTCAGGAGTTCAAGACCAGTCTGGCCAACATGATGAAACCCCGTCTCCACTAAAAATACAAAAAATTAGCCAGGTGTGGTGGCAGGCGCCTGTAATCCCAGATACTTGGGAGGCTGAGACAGGAGAATTGCTCGAACCCTGGAGGCAGAGGTGGTAGTGAGCAGGGATTACACCACTGCACTCCAGCCTGGGCAACAGAGTGAAACTCTTGTCTCAAAAAAAAAGTCAAAAATAACTTTTAACAATGCTACGGTGGCCATATTTTACTTGTTGAAGTTGCCAAAGCAAAAAGAAGAAAGCCTTTCCCTCCTGGCTACCTATGGACACTCCCTATCTTCTCTCTGACCCACTCTTCTACAGTCCCCAACTTGAGTTAACTCCTACTTGTCCTTGGATAGCTTAAGCATGCCTTCTCAAAAAGGCTGGAAGTGGTCTCCATTCCTGAATAAATCTGGCCCCTCTGCTTTATGTACATGTATGAGTTTGCTAGGGCTGCCGTAACAAAGTCCCACAGACTGGGTGGCTTCAACAACAAACACTGACTTTCTCACCGTCTAGAGGCTGGAAGTTCAAGGTGAAGGTGCTGGCAGAGCTGGTTTCCTGAGGCCTCTCCCCTCAGCTTGCTGCCTCCTCACATAGTCATCACTCTGTGCACACAAGACCCTGGGATCGCCTCTTTTTTTTTTTTATAGGGACATCAGTCAGTGGGAATAGGGCCCCACCCTTAACGGCCTGATGTTAAAACCTAATCACTTCTTTAAATAACTTATCTCCAAATATAGTCACATTCTGAGGTGCTGGGGAGTTGGGACTTCAACGTATGAATTTGGGGGGACATAATTCACCCTTGGCAGTATTTTTCCACATCAGTCAATACTTCTTTTGATTGGGAAGACCTGTATCATGACTGTCTTCTCCATGGACTATAAGAGGCACTTGGCAGAGGGACACAGTCACTCCAGAGTGTGACTGATCCTCAGGCCTTGCATTTTACCTGGTGCAGACAGAGGGCTCCCTAAATAGGAATCTGATGAATCAATGAGCCAAGGCTCTGTTCTCTTCCAATGGCTGCTGTAACAGATGACCATAAACTTGGTAGCTTAAAACAACACATATTTATGCTTTTCCTTTTCTGGAGGGGAGAAGTCTAAACTGGGTCCGAATGGGCTAAAATCAAACTGCCAGCAGGGCTGTGTTCCTTCTTCAGGCTCGTGGGAAGATTCTGTGTCCTGGCCTCTTCCAGCTTCTATCCTCCATCTGCAAGGCCAGCAGTGTAGCAGCTTCAAATCTCCCTCTCTGATCATGGCTTCCATTGTCATATCTCCTTCTCTGACTCTGACCCTCCTCTCTCCCTTTTATAAGGACCTTTGTGATGACACTGGCAGCACTGTGGCCACCCAGGATCATCTCCCCACTATCTTAGGATCCCTAATCACATCTGCAAAATCTCTTTTGTCATGTAAGGCAACATCTTCACAGGTCCTGGGAATAAGGGGTGTTGGAAAGAGATGTTGGAAATAGATGCTTGGTGCTGCAAAGAAAAATTAGCACTAAGACAAAGGATCTTTCAGCAACACAATTTTTACTTACTGGACTGCAGGAAGGGCACTCTCAGCCATCTTGCCGTGAGAGTACAAAGAACAAAGGGAAACACACAAATTTATCCCTTACGCATTTAGGGTCATCCTTATTTCTGTGTCTAATCTCCGTTGGCTGGAGCCAGACCTCACAATCTAAACTAAAACCTGATTGGCTAACAACTTAAAACTTTTCTAAACAGGTAAAAGCAATGGAGAGCTGGGACATGCCTGTGAGCATGTCCAGCACAGATACTTTGGTTAAACTACAAGGACATAGTGTACTACGTGCCCATAAGCATGGCATGTCTAACAGCTACATAGGATAGGGCTTAACAAAGTTATTAACACACTCAGGATTTAACAAGAAAGGAAACTTTAAAAAGGAAGTTTTCTACTTAACACAGGGGGTGAACATCTTTGGGGAAGTCATGCTCGAGCCCACCCTAGAAGCACTGAACTTTGAAAGGCTGGTTCCTGTATTCAGTACGTATGTACTCTGGCATGCATTGCAAGTTTTGCTTTGGAAAAAGTGATCAGATTCTCCACTCTTTTCTTAGAAGGTTTCCAGGCTCCTGGTGAAGTCCAAAGGCAGAGGCTGCACATTCAGTGGTATTTGGAAGCATCTTGTCTGAGACTTGTGGCTAGAGGCACATGGCCTTCTGGAATCTGTGCCTTTCCATCGTTCCCACCAACAGACGCTCTGGCCAGATTGCTTTTTCTACCCTGCAATTACAGGCAGACTCCAATGAGTAATAAACACAAATTGTTTTATTGCAATGGAATTCGTTTAAAAGAATTGCTTTACTGTATCATCCAATAGAATTATCTGCGATGATGGAATTGTTTTATATCTGCACTAAAATATCATAGTGACAAGCCACATGTAGCTCTTGAGCGTCTGACGTGGCTAGTGCGACTGAGGGACTGAATTTGAACCTTTAAGTTAAATTCATTTTTATGTAAATAGCAACTGTGGCTGGTGGCTACCAGAGTAGAGCAGTGCAATTCTAGAAAAATCCCATTTCCAGCCCAAGGCACCTGGACAAGAAGCAGGTTTTCTCAGAGGCCAAGTCTGGGGTGAGAAAAGCTGTTCACTGTCCAGGTACAGTAAAACAACTGACTTCTCTTGTCCGTGTGTGGTGGAGATGCCGTCGAATAATGGCTGCTGTGCATCAGTTTCCAGCTCCCCATTCAGTAGTTCAAAGGAAGCTATGGCAGGAGAATTTACACCATGAGAATCAGCACATGCTACAAATCAAGGCTCCCTCCCCATACCCGACCTTTGGAAAGCTGGGTTATTTAACATTGACCAACATGCCACCGTGCATATGCCAATTGGAGGAGATAGGCCTACTGAATTGCCTTGGCACCATCTGGGTCTCCTGGCACTCACAGAGAGAAAGGGGACAGTGGCAGCTCCACAATTCTTACCATCAGAGAGTAAAAACACCATATGGTTGCTTAAGGGATGGCAACACTTCTCTTAGCCCTTAGAGCTACACGGGCTCTTTTCTCAGGCTTCCTAGAACAGACGATGTCCTTGACAACAACTCCACTGCAAAAGCGGAGGGATGTCAAAGCTGTTGTTGGTCACATCAGTCAAGGCCTTTCCTTTGGATAGTTGTCAGGGCAATGGGGTCCGAGTTTGGAACTTTTGGATGTCTGCTGAGATCTGTGAACATGGCCCAGAATGCCTAGAAAAGGCTAGATTGCATATTCTTATATTCCGTGTCACTTACTTGTCCCCGAAATCTTTTAGGAGGCTGTCATGTGGATAGCCCCCAGCCAGGTATGGAGGCAACTCATTCATTCATTCATTGGAGACAGTGTATTCAGGTGTAAAGGAGTTCAGGACCCAATGATAGATCAAAGAGGGTCCTCATCTCCAGGTTTTATGATGGGCCCCCCATTTATAGAATAATTTACTCAGAGCTGGAATTTGGAGGAGGTGAGAGAGGCACTCACCTTGGGTGCAAAATGTAAGAGGGCACCAAAAAAATCAGTAATCAAGATAAGATACTGGCCAGGCGCGATGGCCCACACTTGTAATCCCAGCACTTTGGGAGGCCAGAATGGGTGGATCACCTGAGGTCAGGAGTTGGAAACCAGCCTGACCAACATGGTGAAACCCCGACTCTACTAAAAATACAAAAATTAGCCAGGTGTGATGGGGGCGGGGGTGCCTGTAATCCCAGCTACTCAGGAGGGTGAGGCAGAAGAATTGTTTGAACTCGGGAGGCAGAAGTTGCCGTGAGCTGAGATCAAGCCATTACACTCCAGCCTGGGCGACAAGAGTGAAACTCCATCTCAAAAAATATATATATATTATTTATAAAATCAAAATTAATGCATAAAATTACAATGTCCAAAATATCAACATTTTCAATAGACAGGCTGTGGGGGGTTGTTTTACTCCCCTTCAGTGTTGTGCCAGGGAGCACAGTCAATTCCAGTTAGCAAGGGGTTACTTGGCCAGGATGTCTCTGAAGAGGAGGTTTATGTGGGTGCAAATAAATTGGGCCACAGGGACCATTATACATATGTTCTGTGCATGTGTGTTTCAGGTGTAGGGTCTTTATTGGCTTTCTCCACTTGGTTCAAAATACAAGAGGATATCTTGACCGCTGTATTTAGGGGTGTACGTCTTTCCTTGTGTCTCAAGTTTCAATAAGGCACTGCTTGTGCTCTTTCCAGAGCTCTCACTTAAGGCTCACACACCTCCAAGTGCTGGATACTATTACTCTTCCTCTTCCCTGTTTTACAGAAGGGAAAAGTGAAGCTTGCAGAAGGTTGGCAAAATAGTACAGGCAGTAATATTGCAATACAGCCATGTAATATTTCAAAATGGTACTGATTAAAGATGTTGGCAGAGAACATTCGGGAAAATTTTAGTTATGGTGTAACAAACACTGTATCTCGGAGACAGTGCTACATGCTGGGCTTTCAAAGAACAGGTAAGTGCAGCTCCCCTCTGTCCCTCCAGGAGCTCATGGGTTAATGTGAGTAAATGATTTGGATTGAAGCTGATGAGTGCTATGCAGAGGGTCCCAGGGAGCTGTGGCTCCAAGAAAGGTGGAGAGATCGTCAGAGAGGCACCTGGGGAAGAAGCTGGGGTCTCAGCCAGAGAAGACCCAGCCTGACCCCAGGGTGCTCCAGCCTCCATCAGAACAGGAGGCTGATGTCATGGCTGTCTCTGAGCCTCTATGCAAAATGGGTGCACAGCGGTAGATCTGACCTACTCCGGTTAACCAGCTGCCTCGAGAATCAGATGATGTGAAGTGCTGCAGAGGAAGGCTCTCTCTACCAGGTGCATGTACTGCATCAGTATAAGGGGGTTTGGCCGGGCGCGGTGGCTCACACCTGTAATCCCAGCACTTTGGGAGGCTGAGGCAGGCGGATCAGTTGAGATCAGGAGTTTGAGACCAGCCTGGCCAACATAGTGAAACCCCATCTCTATTAAAAATACAAAAATTAGCCAGGCATGGTGGCAGGCGTCTGTAATCCCAGCTACTCAGGAGACTGAGGCAAGAGAATCGCTTGAATCTGGGAGGCGGAGGTTGCAGTGAGGAGAGATCACACCACTGCACTCCAGCTGGGTGATGAAGTGAGACCGTCTCTCTCTCTCTCTCTCTCTCTCTCTCTATATATATATATATATATATATACATATATATATATATATATATACGTACACACACACACACACACACATATATATGAGGTTTGGATACAAAGATGCAATAGGGTCCTCCAGGTTTTGTAAAACCCACCATTTATAAAATAATTGATTAGTGAGTTTTAATTATTTAATGGTGAGAAAATGTCAGTTTTCATAGATTTGCATCCAAATCTATGAAAATTTCCCATACACCTCTGTGCCCAGCCACACAGTTCTCCTCCCTAGCAGTAACACCATAGCAGTTCCCGGTGTCTGTTTTCAGAGGTGATGTGTGGTGCACACACAGGTGGGCAATGACACTTCCCACCTGCCGAGAGTACTACCTTTAAAGGATTTAGAATGAAGCAGAGTTTCCAGCACATCATACAATGGAAAACTCTTGAAAATGGCTGGGAAATGGAACATCTTCAGCACTATGATATTTTGGACCGCTATGTTCATTGTCCCAGGAGGTGGGAGTGGGAGGGAGCTGTCCTATACACTGTAGGATGCTCAGCAGCAGCCCTGGCCTCTACCCACTTGATGTTAGGAGCACACGGCCCCTCCCATTCCAGTTGTGGCTGCCAAAAATGTCCCCTGAGGGAAAGGGAGTAATATCATCCCCCATTAAGAACCACTGTTCTAAACCTTGTATCACATCTGTAGAAAACTGGCAGATCAGAGAAAAAATGTAGAAGATTCAAAGGGATAGGAAAGATAAATCTGTGAAGACAAGGGAAAGAGCCTGTAGTCCTCAGTTACTCAGGAGGCTGAGGCGGGAGGATCCCTTGAGCCCAGGAATTTGAGGTTGCAGTGAGCCAGGATTGTGCCACTGCACTCCAACCTGGGAGACAGAGCGATACCCTGTTCCCAATGAACAAACAAAAATCTCAAAGGTTATTATTCTGTAACTATTGAAAGAATATTTTCATGAAGGATGGCAATAACCAGCTTTCTATCTCCACACAGGGCAAAATAAAAAGAAGTCGTTTAAATAGAAGAGAAATTAAAACTGGATATACCGATGATTGAATATTTACAACGGCCCCTGAATGGCAGTTTCTTTCCTGAAGATCTTCATGAAAGAATAATCTAGGATGGCTAGGAATTGTTCCCTCAGGGCTTTGTGGTTAAAAGTTCAGAATCTTCAAGTAATGAAACCTGCATTAAAAAAATTAGCCAAAACTGTTTATTCCATAATCATATCTACATGGTGGTTTTAAGAAAACAATTTTTTTCTTGCTATAAAAGCAATACATATTCACTGTGGAAAAATGAGAAAATATCACTAAGCTTAAAAGAAGAAAAATGTAAAACACTCTTAATCCCACTAACCAGGGAGATACCATGTTTGATACTTTAGTGAATTCATTTCCTAATAATTTTCTATGTTGTTTGTAAAGGTATATGTGTAGATATAAATGTATTACACCTATATAGAAACAATGGATCACTCAGCAAGCACATAATGCTTTGAAGCTTCAATTTTTTCCATTTAATCCACTGCAAATGTATTTTTCCATTTGTAAGTATGTACCACCATATAAGTTTTGATTCTTCCACTGCATAGATGTCTTATAATTTAAAACATCTCCTGTTTTTGGAGATTTAACTTGCTTCCAGTGCTTTGAGGTTCTAAATAATATTGCAGCAAACTTTCCCTAGTCAGAGGTTTGCATACTCTTCTTCCCCCACCCCACCCGCCCCAGGGCAGATTCTTGGGCATCAAGTTGCTAGAGCTGTAGCACCCTGAGTAATTGGTGAAACTGTCTTTCTAAGGCATTTGGTGGGAAAAATGCTGAACAGACCACCAGAAAATTGCTCAATTTACATTCCCACGGGTGGTATTGGTTTTTGTTTTTTTTTGTTGTTTTGTTTTTTAATCTTTGCTAAATTGACAGTTTGAAAGGCGAGCTTGGAGGGTGTTCAGAGAGCTCTCATTCTGTTGAGAATTGGAAGGCCCAGTTTTTTGCTTTTTTTTTTTTTTTTTTTTTACAATTGAGCAATCACCTGGAAAAAAGAGAAGGTGAAACTAACCTATTGCAAAGAAACTACTCCAGGATGAAGAAGGTTGCCTGTATTTCGTCATTTCAGCCAAGCCGGAACACAGAGCAAGGCTGTCTGCATCGTGCTACCATCCTCTTCAGTCTGCAGGGCATTTGATACACTCACCACCTCCCATTGATTCTGCGAACTCGGGTCACAGAATTCCGTGCAGCCCAGCCTCTGAGGGTGGGGCGTCCTGTCTCCGGGACGCTGGGTTTTCTCTGGACACGAATGTCCCAGGGGTAGGAGGCGAAGGACACTGGCACGGCGGGCCTCCGGCGCCAAGAGGTGACCAAGCTGACTGGGCAGGGCTGAGTGGCTGGGCCGAGCACGTGATGCTCCGAGCCTGCCTCCGAGGCCCTCTGGGCGCCTGAGGCTGAAATCGACATTTGCCTCTGGCAGGAAAATGAGCTTGTCACTTTCTGCCTTCATCAGACCCTCAACCCCAAGGAGCAGATTTCGGTAGCGTTTTAACTTTATATCTCAGAATCTGAAAGCGGAAGGTAAGCTGCTTATATCACTCAGAAAAACAAATTTGAGAGGAGTGACCTAGTAAACTACACTGCGACTTTGTTGATTTTTAAAACCTAGTGTTGAAAATAATTGATCGCCGTGAGAGTCAAGGGCTGTATTTTCCCCCAAATTAGAGATTAACCTTCTGAACAGAAATTTAGTTAATTTGGAGGGAATGATGGCCTAAAGGCCAGGGTTAAATATAGAAGGACAGGAAAGCTGCTGGAATAAATAGCAAGTAAACTTTAACCTGCTTGTAAAACAATCGGTTTCATGTCTCTTTCAGGGCTGTGAACAAAGGGAATGTTAAAATTGTGATTTTTAACTCAAGTGAAAGTAAATGAATCTATTTGTCTACAATTGGAATGCATATAAAAGCAGTCTTGGCTTTTGTCCTTTTACATTTCAAAAACGCTTGTGTGTTTTAGCAAAAGAAAAGTTTATACGTGCACTGCTTAAGTTTGAAATATGCTATTTCAAATTTATGAAATTATCACAGTTGTAATTTCCTAAAGGTTTTCTAGGCAAGGCTGTTACAGTTGTGAATGAGAAATGTTGACATTGTACATATTTTCTGTGATAGTAAAATGACTCATTTCTTCAGAATGTGATAAAAATTAGAAAATATGAAATAATGAGTTATTGTGAATTAACTCATGTCTGAGAGATTAAATGCCCTGCCAGAAGATGTAAGGAAACACACAAATACAACCATGCTCACGTGATAGTGCTTTGTTTTAAATCAACACATATTTAAGTAAGTAGTAGAAAAACGCAGTATCACCATTTTTTCCTTTGGCAAATACAAATTAATATTGGAATGCAGCTATTCAGAGTAATTAAAGCATCATTCATCTGTACAATTAGTATAACGTTCCATAATGAATTGCTTTGAACTAAAGTATTTGGTATAATAGATGATATACAATTTGAAACATGGAACCTCTATGCAAAGTGTGTCCATGCATGGTATTTTGTGTCATTTTGATTTGCATAAAATGTTTATTCCTCCACTGCATTTGATAAATACTAATTTTAAAACAAAACATGAAATTGTATTTCCTTTCACTGTAATCCCCTTATTGCTAATTCTTTTGAAATCCTATTACACGCTTGGAGCCTGTAATAATTTGGATTTCCTCTCCTGTGTGTTGTTTTTCATAATTCTTCGTGAAACGTCAGGAAAACTGCACACATCAAGCGAAACTCCCTGAGGGGCGGCCAGCGCGAGGGTTTCGGGCCATCGCCCCTCACCTCCGGGGACTTCCAGGGTCTTCCCCCCAACCCCGCGCGGACTTCTCCGCGTCACCCGAAGGGGTCACGTGGCAACGTGGGGCCCGCCTCCCGGTGACGTCACGGCGCTCGCAGCCGTCGCGCTGAAGAAAGGATGCTCGAGGATGCTGTCCAGGTGGGCGGCCTTGGGCGCGATGCGGCACTGCAGGTAAGGGGCGCGTGGCGCCGGGACGACCTCCCTGGCGTCCCCGGCGCCGCGGACGCTGCAGGGGAAGCCCGGCCCGCGGGTCTGCAGCCCGGCTGCGCCCCCCAAAACCCAAAGTGGGGCCTCTGGCTGCTGCCGCGCCTGCTGCCTACAGCTGCCTGGTGCAGCTGCACGCACCCGGCAGGGGATGGCCCGTGGCAGGCCCACGCATTACTTGGGTCTTGGCGTGCCCGCCCCAAGAAAGGGGGCAGGGGCCAGACAGAAAGACATGGGGAAGAAAAAAAAAAACGCTCCGGAGGGGGAACAAAATCTGAAATGACCACACTGCATGCATTCTACGTAGAGAGAGGGGCTTTTAAGAGGTACCTATCAATTGTTTTCCTGCTGTCATTCTGCTTCTTAAATAATGACATGGTTACTAATTACAGGCCTTTGTCCTCAGTAATTAGCCTCATTTCTTTCAAAGCAAAAGCGGACTGCGAAGTGGAAACTTCTTGGTTAGCAATTTAAGAGCCAGATGTGCAATCTAAATTGCTTTGCATTATTTTGCAAAGTTCCAGCATTTACAAGGCATACGTCGGAAATGTATCTTTTCTCCTTCCAGGTGTTTTAAGTAGATTAAAAAATAACAGTATCCAATAAAATAAAAATAAATTGCAGCCTCCAAAGGTAACATGTGAGTGTAAGAGACAGCTACATCTCTAAGAACCAAATGATTTTTAGCAGAGGGTGGGGGTGGAGACAAGAGCAAAACCTGAAAATTCCCACAGTTCTTTTTAATTCCCTCGCTGATCATTCGCATGCTGAATGGAGGGGCTTGATGACTCAGCGGCAGATGGCGGTGTGGGGGGGGAGTCAGGTGACTTCAATTCTAGCATGACAGTGGGTGGGGGATTTTAATGGACTCTTTCTACAGCATTTACATTCCTTTCTCTGGGTCAGGAAGAAACTGTAGCCAGGACTTGTGTGGGCACCCTTAGGGGGAGAATGTGGCCTTTTTTTTCCCCTCTAAAACCTGACCCTTCTGGAAGCTTTGGTGTCAGTAAACTGTACTGGAACTCACATTATGAATAATTTGACCCACCAGCAATGCTGGGGGGGGGGGGCCTGTAAAGCAATGCTATTTTCATCAATAATTAAAGGAGGCATTTCTTTCAGAATTTGGGACACCCAGATGTGTTGCTGCAGTAATTTAGTAACTTGTTTGTTGCAATTTTCTTCCTTTGGTTCAGTTTGGTTACAGCAATTAAGATCCTCGGGTCCCTACCCTCTTTTTCTCCCCCAGCCCAACCCTAGACAGAGCAAAGCAGATGATAGAGGAGGATCTAATAGAGACCTAGATTCCACTTCTTGCTTTGTGGCTGTGCAACCTTGGACAAGTCATTGTGTCTTTGGGCCTCGACTATCTTGTCCTCAAAGTAACAAAGGGGTTTAGGTCAGGGTGTCTCAACCTTGGGCACTACTGGCATTTGGGGCCAAATAACTCCTTGTGGTAAGGCTGTTCTGTGCTTGTGAAATGTTTAGCAGAATCCCTGGCCTCCACCAACTAGATGCTAGTAGCAACAACCCCCCACCGGCCCCCAGTTGTGACAATCAAAAATGTTGCCAGACATTTTCAAATGTCCCCTGAGGGCTCCATTGCCCCCTGTCAAGAACCACTGATTTAGATGATCTCGAAATGTTTTTCAGGCTCCAAGAATTCATTTTCTTATGATTGGTTTGTTGCCAAGCCCTTAATAAGAAATCTGATTTCCTTTCTTAATATTGTATATATTGGAAAACACACTGTGAAGGTGTTTTTATGCTGTGAATTTCCAGAAATAGCTTCTGTGAAAGAGGGAGGAGCTGTTTGTATGCCATTTGTAGCTGGGAGGCTAGCTTGGCAGAAAGGAGTGTGTTAGGGAAAGAGATAAAAAACAGAGCACTAGATGAATGTGTGTTGAAAGCTGCCGGGGCTTCGTGCTCAGCAGACCTGGAGCATGTCCCTGGACATACTCACTCTAACCCTGGGTTAGACCTAACAGTGGAGAGTCCATTTCCTTATCTGCAAAAGTGGGAATAACAGTGTCCACTCGGAGGTGCTGTCAGGATGAAATGACACGATATCTGGTGCTGGTGTGGGACGTGGTTAGGATAAGAGGGTGGTGACGTCTATGCAGCTAGCAGGAGGCAAACAAACTGTCTGTACCACCAGCAACAGGGACACTCGCTCAAGGGAGACATGGTCGCGTGCTTTAAGCATCAGTCCAGGGCTTGCATCTAAGGATCTGGCTTTGACACTTAGGGTGACTGTGGCTGCATCACTTCACCTCGAAGAGCTGCTGGCGAATCTGTAAAGCAGGGCCAACTGTACTTGCTGAGTCTGCTTCTTGGCTGTTGGGGAGGGACGGATGGAAGTGAGAGAGTCTGCAGGCTGGGAAACTCCCGAGAGTCGTCGGGAAGCAGGGATGGCAGCTGCATTGACATGTTTATTGTGTTTGTGTATGTGGAGGGTGCTCAGAATGGCCAGAAAACATTTCCTTGTGCCCCAGGCTTGGGACTTTGATATGTCCCTCCCCTGTGTTCCCTTGCTATCGGCTTGTGCGCTCTGTCTGTCTGATCGTTCTTGGCACCATGAAAATGGTCTCCTGGAGGAGTTGGGAAAGCCCTGCTGGGGAAGTTGATCTTCAGTGAGGGAGATCCACTGTGCAGAGGGCTGGGGTGAGAGAAGCTGGCTTCATCCACTCCCCACGCCATCCAGGCTTCAGTCCATGGGCATCCAAGACTGAATGGACTGAAGCCTGTCCTCACAGGCTTCAGTCCATGGCCATCTAGGGCAGGTCTGTCACACTCCTGTGTGCCTCCGGTGGCCTTGGTACTCTGTGTAAGCCATCTGACTTTGTCTCTTCAACAAGGCAATAACATGAAAGACAATTTTAAAAAGGGAAGTGGGTTATTCTCTATCAAATGGGACTTAAGAGACTGAATAGCCAAACATCACTTGTGGCCCTCAGTTGGATTTGGCTTGAACAAACATGTGTAACAGGCATTTTGGGGACACCTGGAGACTCTTTGATGTGACTGGCTATTAGATGACATTGGAAGACTGCTGCTGCTTTGATTAGATGTGACGATGTGATGTGGTTGCAGCCCCTCAGACAGACACAGTGATCCCCGTCCCTGGCAGGTGCAACTCACCTTCTCCCCTGGGGTTTGGGCTGGAGCAAGTAATGAACTTCCAATGAAGACAGTATGGCAGCAGGGGGTGGGGTGGCACTTCTGCCATGAGGGAGTAAAGAGGCTTCCGCCTGATGTGTGTTTTCTCTCTTGGATTGCTTACACTGTGGCGGGATCAGCCTTACAGAAGGGTCCATCTGCCATGGCGAGGACCCGAGGTCCATTCCAACAGCCTGAGAAGAACTGAGGCCTGCTGACAGTGTGAGGGTGTGAGTGGGCTTGGAGGCAGGCCCTTCAGGCCCAGTTGAGTCTTTTTTTTTTTTTTTTTTTTTTGAGCCAGAGTCTTGCTCTGTTGCCTAGGCTGCAGTGCTGGTGGTGTGATCTCGACTCACTGCAGCCTCTGCCTCCTGGGTTCAAGCGAATGTTGTGCCTCTGCCTCCTGAGTAGCTGGGACTACAGGCGCACGCCAGCACGGCTGGCTAATTTTTGTATTTTTAGTAGAGACAGGATTTTGACATGTTGGACAGGCTGGTCTTGAACTCCTGACCTCAGGTAGTCCACCTGGCTTGGCCTCCCAAAGTGCTGGGATTACAGGCATGAGCCACCACGCCCAGCCCCAGTTGAATCTTGAGATGGTTGCAACCATGTAAGACAACTTGAGTTAAGTTACCAGCTAAGCCACTCCAGGGTTCCTGACATAGAAACAGTGACGTGGGACATGTTTGTGTCCAGCTGCATGCTTTGGGGTAATTTGTTAGGCAGCAGTAGATAGCTAATACATGTGTTTATGTAGAAAATGCTTATTTTGTAGAGATGCACGCTGAAGTGTTTAGAGACAAAGTGTCATGGTAGCAATCATTTACATTTTTTAAAAATGATTTTTGAGATCTCTTTAATGTATGATTTAACAGAAGACAGAAGAATTCTCATACTTGGTACTACATTCAATCTGTCTCAATATCACATGTGATGTAGCCTCTGGACAATTCCACTGTATGCTCATGAGAGAATGAGCTTAGAGAAAGGCAATTAACAATGTCAGAATATTGTGAAATGTTTTTGACATTATGGACCCCCTTAAAGGGTCTTGGGGAGCCCAAGGAGTCCCAGACCACATTTTGAAAACCAGGCTTCAAGATCAAGAATTCACTTTTTTTTTTTTCTAAATGGAGTCTTACTCTGTGGCCCAGGCTGGAGTGTAGTGGTACAACCTCGGCTCCTGGGTTTAGACAATTCTCCAGCCTCAGCCTCCCAAGTAGCTGGGATTATAGGTGCCTGCCACCATGCCTGGCTAAGTTTTGTATTTTTAGTACAGACAGGGTTTCACCATGTTGGCCAGGCTGGTCTTGAACTCCCAACCTCAAGTGATCCACTCACCTTGGCCTCCCAAAGTGCTGGGATTACAGGCATGAGCCACCATGCCTGGCTAATAATTCACTTTTAAATGGTTAAATGAAGCGAGAGAACGAGATAAAGCAGGTAGAGGCAAATGTGAACAGGTGTTCAGTCTGACTGGTGTTACCCATTGGATTCTTCTGCATGATGTTCTGTGTAATTGAAAATGCTCATAATAAAATGTTAAGAAAAAAGAAAAGAAATGTAGACCCTCAGACATGTTGGAGATTCTGATTGGGTAGGTCTGGGGGTAAAGCCCAGGGCTTAACCTGTGCTCAGGTGCCCACAATAACATGGGCCAGAGCTCCTAGCCACTTTGCCCCAGAGGTCCTCACCTTACCTGCCTTCTCTCCACCTGTCACCTCCCTTGCTGTACCAGACCGAAGGAGTTTAGTGTGATGATGCATCTCTTCTACCAACCCGGGAGAAGAGGTGTGTGGGGATAGTCCCCTTCCTGCCCCTTCCCCCATACACACTTTCCCTTGGTAACAAGACCTTTGTTTATCCACATTTTCAGTGGGTGGCTTTTTTATGTGCAGGAATGGATTTCCTTTATAGATTGTGATAAGTATTTTTAAAATGACTTTCTTTTGTTTCTTTCATTTCCTTTTTTAAAATTTGAGATGGAGTCTCACTTTGTTGCCCAGGCTGGAGTACAGTGGCTTGATCTCAGCTCACTGAACCTCCACCTCCCGGGTTCAAATGATTCCCCTGCCTCAGCCTCCCAAGGAGCTGGGATTACAGGCATGTGCCACTAGGCCTGGCTTATTTTTGTATTTTTAGTAGATATAGGTTTCACCATGTTAGCCAA